AAATCTGTACGAGGTATTTTATGACGACGCTGATAGGTGAGAAAAGGGCGGTTTGCAGCGATGGAGGCAAGAGGTCTTTCCTCTAGAAGATAGTCACCTGCAACTGGTAAAGACAAGTCAAGAAACGGAACAGAAAGAACCTGATCAACCTGTGACAACTGAAATGGGATAGAATGAAATGGTTGTTGATCAAGGAAAGTGACATCAGCGAAAACAATATAACGTTTAAGATCAGAAGAATAACAACGATAACCCTTTTGAATACGAGAATAACCAAGAAAGATACACTGAAAGGCTTTGGATGTTAACTTATCCTTAATATGAGTGAGATCATGAACAAAACAAGTACAATCAAAGACATGTGGAGTTAGAGGATAAAGAGGAGTATCTGGAAACAATAGATTATGAGGAATGTCATTGTTGAGCAAAGATGAAAGCATGCAGTTGATGAGAAAACAAGAGATGAGTACGGCATCCGCCCAGAAGTGAAGGGGAACCTGCATATGAATAAGAAGGGTACGAGCAGTTTCAATGAGATATTTGTTTTTACGTTCAGCCACCCCATTTTGTTGTGGAGTGTGAGGACAAGTGGTTTGATGTAAAGTACCTTGTGTAGCCAAGAAATTAGAAAAATCAATAGAAACATATTCCTTAGTATTATCACTACGTAAAATACGAATAGAAACACCAAATTGAGTATGGATCTCAGTAGAAAACTTTTTATAAATGAAAAATAACTCGGAACGATTTTTCATTAAATAGATCCAAATACAACGGGAAAAATCGTCAATAATGGTAACGAAATACCGAAAACCTAAAACAGACAAAGTACGACTTGGACCCCGGATATCTGAATGAACAAGAGAGAAAGGAGCATCAGCTCGTTTATTGACTCGTCTGGCAAAGGAAGAGCATGTATGCTTTCCTTGTTGACATGACACACAATCTACAGACTGAAGACCATATAAAAGAGGAACCATCTTCTGCAACTTTGAAAGACTTGGATGATCGAGGCGACTGTGGATAAGTTGTGGAGATTATGTGAGAGAGCATGCCACTGAAGGACGAGGCACAACCAAATAGTAAAGCCCCCATGACTCATGACCCACTCCAATCATCTTCCCCGTACTTGGATCCTCCGTAGAAACAGAATTGTTAGAGAAAGTAATGGTGCAAGTGAGGGGTGCACCAATTTACTAATAGAAATGAAGTTATAAGGGGTGTCAGGAATGTATTAAACAGATGTCAAGGCCAAGGTAGAGGTCGGACGAGCTTGTCCAATCCCACGAACTGGGGCTTTGGTTCCATCATCAAGGGTAAAAGAAGGTAAATGATCAGAATAAGTAAGAGATGTAAAGAGTTCCTTATTACCACATAAATGATCGGTAGCACCTGAGTCAAATATCCAAGGGTCGAGTGATGTAGAATGAGAAACACAAGCAACGAGATTACCAGTATCTGGAGCAGAAGGCTGAGACTGAGGAGAAGCGTTCTTGAGAAGAGTCTGGAGTGCAGCATAGTCCACAGGTGAGAGAAACTGAATCAGATGATGCAGTGTTTGACTGAGCTATATTAGCAGGAAGAGAGGTGGCCCAATTCTTGTAGTTATTAGAATCCTTCAGTTTGGAAGATGTAATGGGCCCAACATTAGTAGATATGATTCTCGAGAAAGTTTTGGCAGGAGGAGAAGGAAAGTTAACCTTTGAGAGATCAGGGGATGCTGCTGCCATTTAAAGACAAAATATAAAAGCCGTAAATGAAGGCAAACGATATCCAATCAAGAAGACCAACACATCTAAAGGGAGACACACAAAGAACCTAGCACAAATCTGGAAAGAGGAGGAAAAATTGAGCTAGTCTATACAGGAACGACTGGAAAATGACGCCGAAATAGTGCATACACGCCTGTGAAGGGTGGGGCGTGAACACCACGTGCAGGGAGAAGGAGCCGTGCGTGAGAGCGCGTGGCGACTCCTCTGATGATGGGTCTTCCACAGACTTGGTCGCCAGAGAGAGAGGGCTCTGATTGCAGGCTTTCCAGTTGAAATCAATGCCGGAACAGTGCTCCGGTGGCCTGAACAGTGATGAACGGTGGTTGTTGGCGGCGGGCAATGGTTCTGACGGTTGAAGAAACAAGCCGGAGAGACGCACGACTTAGTGAACCTGCCGGAGGGACACATGACTGATGAAAACCTTGCTGGAAGATTTTACGGCAAAGTAGAAGAGAACACCTAAGCAATGGGCTTAGGGTTTTAGCGGAAGCGGATCCGCAGAACGAAAAAGCTCTTGTACCAACTTGAGATTAAAGAATAATTGTATATTGAATAATGGTATGTTACAATGTATAAGAGCTCTCTATTTAAAGAGACTAAAAGACCTAATGGGCTAAACCACAAGATGTGGGACTATATACATTAAACGATTCGAACAATACCCATACATAGTTTAAGATGATCATGTTTGAAACAATGAGGATCTGCCTTGTATAGAATCTTGAGAAGGTTTAGATTGATCTTCAGAAATGACATCAAATGTATCTTTGATATAGAGGGAGGGGGTATTTGATAGGATACCCCTAAGGGTGTATGCTAGTCACAAAGGATCATGATCAGCTGAGGTGCTAGGGAATATTCTAGAAGGGGATTTGTTAGAAGGTTCTGTTATAGAGAGAGGGTTGCTGACGTGACGAGAGGCACAAGTTGATACCAACTGATGGTTATATAGGCGTGGAAAGGCATGGAAGAAGGAGGTTGGGAATTTGGACAAACTTGGGTTGGGAAACCAGATTGGGAGAGAATAAGAGCACTCTTTAATTGCTTTGAAATTATCTTTTGTTTTTCTTCCTTTTCCATTGTAATTTTCCTCTGTTTCCATTACTGTTTCTGCAATTGTCTCACTGTAATTGTCATTTCTAGTTCAATATATAGAAAATCCAGATTATTTCTGGGCCAAAATATTGTTTGTTTGCTTGTGTTATTTGGTTAGTTGATCTGGTTATTATCAATTGGTATTAGAGCTTTCGATCTGGGAACTCTGTGAACCATGGCCACGCTGAGAAGAAAGCAACAAAGAAGAAAAATTCCGAATTTCTATGGAGATAGAGAAGATGATGAAGCTTGGGAATGGCTAATCTATTTGGAACAATTTTTTCAAATGGAGAGAATCAATGAAGATGAGAGGTTGATGGAAGCTGTAAGAGGGCTCAGAGGGAGTGCGTTCAACTGGTATCAAAGTTGGAGATGGTTCAATCCTAATGCAAGTTGGAAGGACTTTGAGAAAGCATTAATAGATAAATATTTACTTGAGATTTGTTTGGTAGATGATGTAGAATTGGAATGTCAAAAATCAGAATCCAAACCGAAGCAAAATCCTGTGTCAAAGGAGACACAGATCGTTGAAAAGAAGAATGAATCATTAGAGAGAAACAAGCGCCAGCGCCGGAGAAGGAAGCTGTCTAGACCAAGGAGGTTGTCGAAACCTAAAAAAAAATGAGAGAGGCAAAGGGGAATTCGTGGCAGCAGATAAAAATCAATCACTCGATCGGGTGATGACAAAGCACGAGGAAGAAGTGAAAAATTTAGGCAAATGGAGAATGCTGTAGACGTGGGAGAACCAATGACATCACCACCAGCGGTGGTTGTTGACCCACCACCAATGCCAGACCCTCCGGATTTAATTCTTTTTGTGGGGGTGGAGGGTGTTGTGAACTGCCACCAAGGAGGAAGAAAACTGATGGAAGTTAGGTTAGGGAATGGGTTAGCGGAATCGGGTCATTTAGTTTACCAATTGAGTCAGGCCCAAATTTTTAAATCACCCAAATCCAGCCTAACAATTTCTCTATTTCATTCAAGGAATGGGCTTGTGAGCCCATGATCATGTCTGAACAAATTGGTCCTCAGAATCTTGGGTTCGGTAAAGCAAACCAAGATGGGCAAGACTTCATGATAGAGAAGAGAATAGTTTTCATTTCGTCTTTGAGGAAGCGTAGGACGGCATGAAGGGCTCCATGGCAAGTTTGGTTCCATGGGTCACGGCTGTCAGAGCCAGGAAGAAGAGACCTTGTGTTGGGTTTTCTTTTTCTTTTGATTGTCGTTTTCTTTTTAATTCAATCCTTTCGTTGCCTTCTCTCTCGGAAGTCATGCCAACTACGGTGTTGGGGAGTGAAAGCACAACGAAGCGTGAGAAGAAAATCAGCATACCAAAAAAGCAAAAGCTACGTGAGATGGCAACACAAAACGCAGAAGGAAACCAGGTCAGAAAATAAATTTTCAAAATTGGGGGCATTACTCTTGGGAAAAAAAATACCAAACAGATGCTACAATTACTGTATTCTCAAAATTTTCTCACTATAGTGGTGGACTTGGTTTGCTTTTGGAGATAATGGTTGAAGTTATTTCGTGGTGTGTATCCGAGGAGTTTTCAATTGTTCAGCGGTCATGTTTGGGTGAATTAGTACTTATCCAGCCTATTCATAATATGAAGTATACAACTCAAGTACTTATCAGCTATGTTGCACCGACACAGGATACGACACGACACTCCGACACGTTAATTCTAAAAAATATTAAATTTCGACACGTTAGGACATGTTTTGATATTATATAATATTTTTAATTTATGTAGTGTATATTAACAAAAAAATAATGCTAAACTAATTATACCCATCAATTTTGTAAAGAAACATAATATCCCAAATATTTATATTAAACTCAATATAATAATAATCGTAATCCAGCGAATCTAATAGTTGGAACTCAAAATGCAACGCAACGTAACCTTTGAACCTTTTTTGAGTCTTTGCAACGAGTATTGAAGTGTCGGACACAACACACGTTAGGGATTTTGAAGTGTCGGTGCTTCATAGCTTATCAGTATTCTACATGGTTTGCATAATAATGTGCTTATATCTTCTAGGTTATGCCTTGAATCGTTTATTTGTATTATGTGCTCTTCCACTGCCTTGTAGTTACCCTTGGTAATTATTTCAATGGGTTTTGTAGGATTCTCAACTAAAATCTGGGGAGAGGCAGGATTCTTTTGAAGGTCTGACATGGTTACATTTGGAAATATTTTCTATATTTGTGTTTCTTTGTGTATATCAATAAAGTATGCATGGATTACAGATGAACCATCTCAAAATGGAAGTTCTGTGCAAGTTCCTCAAAATGGGGTACTTAATACACCCGGTACAGTTGTTAACCAAACTATGTCTATCCTACCTATCTCTGCTGCTGGTGCTCCCGGAGCAGTTCCTGGTCCCACAACTAATTCAAATATAGGAATGGATTATTGGGGCACACCAACTTCGTCCACTATTCCTGTGCTGCGTGGAAAGGTTCCTTCTACTGGAGTTGCTGGAGGGATGGTTACTTCTGGGTCAGGAGATAATGTTCAGTCACAACTTTGGTTACAGGTTAGGTTAACTTTGTCAGCAGGTTATTTCTTGTTGCATTATTACTTCCTGTAATCTCTTTTTTAATCTTCATCTTTTCTGGTTAACTTTCAGGATGAAAGAGAGCTTAAAAGGCAAAGGCGGAAGCAGTCTAATAGGGAATCTGCTCGCAGATCCAGGTTGCGCAAGCAGGTGAAAGAGATTTTAGTCTTTTCCTACTTCTGGTTGCATGGTCTTAATTTTCATATTTCAAATTCTTTTTTGTATGGTTGGTTATCAGGCTGAATGTGATGAACTAGGTCAGCGTGCTGAGACTTTGAAAGAAGAAAATGATTCTCTCCGGACCAAAGTGAGCCGGAACAGGAGTGATTACGAGCAGCTACTTTCTGAGAATGCGGCCCTCAAGGTGATTTTGAAATCTTGACATGATTTGATATCTGGTTTTTGTCTATTTTACTTATCGACAAGCACTACTGCCCATACCAATCAATATCTAACAATAAGTCCTTGACAATTGATAGCACACATTTGAACCCTGATTCAGAGAGGGAAATGAAAGGCCTAGTTGGAATAATGTGACGTTCCTACTTCTAAATTCCATTCTTAATATCTGATAAGTGATTTGCAAAGACTAAGCCTGCTATCTGATATATGTATGATATAATGGTTTTACAGGAGAGACTAGGAGAGATACCTGGGAATGAGGGTATTAGTTCTGGCCAAAATGATCAGCATGTTGATAATGATGACACTCAACAGAGTGGTCTGACACAGGCTGTGCTGGGTGTTCATTAGGATCTAGCTTCCTGCTGCATGTTGCTTTTAAGGAAGATAACCTAAAGAAATAGCAACTGCAAGTTCTTGTTTTTGGATAGCTTCTAGTTCAAGGTGTATTAAAGGTGATCGATCGTATGTAGTATTAGGATCTATTTATGTTATACGATTCCTCGTTTCTAATTCGTCAGGTTTTTTGACAGCCAAAAACAACCTGGGGTGTAGGAAGTTCTCGTCATTACCATATTCAGCCTTTAGGGATAGATTTGAGAATAGCGATTTACCATTAAGGATTTTATACAACATGTATTGTATTATGAATGTATAATCACCTATTTGATAAGTTACGACGTTAGGTAGTTTAACTGTGATTGCTCCCAGAAGTTACCACAGCAATTGTTATGATCAAATGAATAGATCTAAATTATATATTTATTTTTATTTTTTTTTGATAACAATTATATTTTTTTTCATCTCACATCTGTGCTACAGGCGAATTCGTTGTGTTTGCACTCAAATGATTACAGAGAAAACTAAAGGCGGAAAAAGAGCAGAGATAGCGTAGGTCTTTGAGGAATAGTTGAAGAGAAACATTTTGTCATACAATCCATACCTTTTCCCCTGTACTTATCGTCACAATCTTTTTACATAATTTTTTTCGTGCGTTTATCTTTAGTGTGCCCCTTCCAATAATGCTTTTGGTTTTTTTTTTTTTTTTTTGCTTAAATGTTTATAGAGTGAACGTAGATAATGAATGTAGACATTATCTACCTTCATTCTCAAAACAATTTGGGTTGGATTAAAAAATTGCAATAGAAAGATCATTATAATTATGAAAATACCTTGATTTTTGTCTTAAGACAATATTATTTTGGATTTAATGTAAATAATTTATCTACATTAATTGCAGAAAAAAAAATTTCTTTTCTTTTATCCCCTTGTTATGAATAATAATAATATAACAGGTGAAATGTGTTATACAGCCTTATCAATAGAATTCTTTTCTTATATTTTCTATATGAATGCAATTTTTTCTATATGAATGCAATTCTTCAATGCGGGAATCACAGACAGCCTTATCAATCAAACTAAAGCAAACCAAAGGCGATACAATATGATAATAACTCAAGTTATAAATATAACCTAAACCATTTAAGATCAATCAATTGTACATACAATGAGATTATAAATTTCGAAGATCACACTCAATTTATCATAACCACCAAGAATTACATGAGTTCCATTCAAGAGGAATGAGATTTTTCAATACAATATCCAATATTGTGATTAGAGTTGGCAAAATGGGCTCGGCGGGCCAACTTGCCCCAGCTGTCAAATGGGGTGGGGCAGACTCATTTTTGGGCGGGTCGATGGCGGGCATAGGCACGGCGAGGCGGGTCAGTGTAAAATATGCTCGGGCTGGCGGGTTAATCCCCCAGCCTGCAAAACGGGGCGGGGCGGGCCGAGTTTTTTAGCCCACTTTCAAAAGCGGGGCTGGGCGGGCTGGCTCGTTTTTTGTCGGGTTGATGGCGGGATGGGGCGGGGTGGACCGCCTACTTTGCCACCTCTAATTGTGATAAACACAATGTTAAAACCTATATGAGCAAATCCAGATAATTGCGAAGGAAGACAATAATGGAGCAATTAATGAGCTCTCAAAGTGCAGTACACATATCTTAGAAGTTGTTGCTTAAGAAAAAGGTTAAAACAAAATATGAATAGCGTACTGGAGTGATATTTATTAGGATTTTCGAGCGCAAATTAAATTGAGTGCATTGAATTGTCAAATGCAGAATGATACATGTTTTTGGTTTTTACGTTTAGAAAACACTTTAAACAAACCAAAATTGAAATTAACAAAGATCCCCATGAAATGAATTAAGATGAAGAAAACAAGTTGGAGCATTTTGTAACACTCCGTTCTAGACCGGTTTGTTAACATTACATATGATATTAAGCGCAGTTACAATTACATTAATTGGATTAAAATATAGATAAAATTTTTCTTTTCTTTTTTATGTAAACATTACTTCTATATTCGCGTAATTCAAATACTTAATTGTAACTTACTTTATGCACATATCCTATTGGCTTAATATTATCAACCATGTAGCCCCCATAAGCTAACATGGTGTGAAACTCAATATTTTATTAATTTAGAACATATGACATTCCCAGTACATCAAGCGTTCCTAGTACTGGTAACGTCGTTCCCCCTCTTTGGGAAGGTTGTTCCCCCTCTGGGAAGTCGTTCTTCCCTCTTTGGGAAGTCGTTCCCCCATCTCTAGGAAAGTCGTTCCCCTTATTTGGGAAAGTCATTCCCCCTTCCTAACAGAAGATAAATTCTTGATAGCCAAAGTAATAGAGTTTTTGGCAGCTTCGACTCTACACTAAAATGGGAACATTCCACTGCCCATAAAATTTTGAAATTTGGAGATAATAAACTAGACTCGTGTGGCTTTAAAATGACATATAACATGCCCCGTTTGGTTAAGAATTGAGCAAGTTATGGGCGTTCTAAGTCGACCATACTTAACAAAATTCAATTTGATAGTACTTGGCTGTATTCTTAACTTAAGGGTTATCTTAACCCATTATGATACCTTATTGACTAGCATAGTTTCTATGATTGGCATCTACATCATAATATTACATAATCATCATCTCTTGGACATATACATATAATACTTGAATTGTCCAAATACACAGCCCATATACATTGTTCCACACAAATATACAACATGGGAACTATGTCAAAAAATCCATATAACATGAACTGTCTGCAACATCTGATTACATATCACAAAAGTAATTAGTCTCTAAAATGTTGTACTATCATGCAATCTATGGACCCTTTGCCCTGTGAATGGTCTTACTCCGTCTGTGGAGGTCTCTGAAATGTATTCCCCATAAGGCGGGGTGAGATAAAAATCTCAGTAAACTAAGAGTCCTTGGAGGATCACTCCCCCTAGTTCACTTATTGTGCAATAGCAGTAAAAACATACATAGTAATAGACATGGTAATCTAACATATACCGTACTGAGGAAACTTCCAAGAGATTTTTCAAAGGCTAAGTCTCTTAGGTAGCTTAAACCCTATGGATTTCCTGAAGGCTGAGTCCAAAGGAAGTTCCTAACCATGAGTTGCTTCCAAGAGATTTCCCGAATGCTGAGTCTGTTAGGTAGGTTAAACCCTGTGGATTTCCTGAAGGTTGGGCCCAAAGGAAGTAACCATTGCATTCAATTCCAATGGCCATAGAATATACTTAAGTAACGTACATTTTTCACTGAAATGCATCATGTCATGCTCTACTACTATATACATAACACATATCACTGGAACCATTACTCCAATGGAGTATGGTGGAACACATAAGGGGATTGATCCCAAGGTCCAAAAGTTTATCTGATGTAGTATTTCTGACAGTTGCTTTGTTATGCTTCCAGAGGCTCAACCATAATCAACCACACACACAAGCAACCTATAACAATATGTGAAATTATGATTAAAACATCATATAACACATAAATAACTAAGTTATAGGCTAGAAATACATCTAAATTCTCATTACCATGACTTTCCTCTTTGGTAAAAATCAAGAAATCTAATCTTGACCAAATGCTGATTCCAATCGGTGATTATCAACCACTATGGCACTAGGTACAACTCTACAACATGGAGCAAAATAACATCATAATCCAACCCAAAAATTCTGATTTTCTTGGTACTTTCTTGTCGGGTCGAGGGTGCTCTAGGATATTATAGGAGCAAAAGTGTGCAAAAAGAGTAAAACTCACTATGAAGAGCAATTAATCAATTGAGGAGCAACTCTTCCCGAAATACGCAAGCGCACGCGTCAAGCAATACAAGATTTTCAAAGAGCCCTAGACTATCGTCCTCAGGGAACAATTGTAAAAGTTTCTTTTAAAAGAGGAAACAACAAAAATAAACAAAGGAGAATGAAAGAACAATGGTTCTCGGTTAGAAATCACCAAAGAGCATTTTCTACTAGCTAGTTAAACATAGTTAACCAATCTAAGTAGCTGAATGTTGGGTATCATTCTCAACCTTCACTGAACAACAATAATAAATCAACAAATAGAAAAGGTCATTGAATGTGAGAGCAATAAGACAAATTTCATCAAGCTTCGTAACCAAAAGTACCAAGAACAATTGTTGAAAGTAGCCTCTTCTAGGTCATGAAAATAAAGGAGGGAAAAATTAAAAAAATTGTGCGGAAGAAACAACCTTTGTCCACCCTCAAGCATGTTCAACCTATGAATCATGCAATAGACATGTTAGGGGTTTAAAGTTGATACCTTTATTCGGATAACTATTCCTGATCAGATGCGTTCTTGATCAATTCTTCAGACTTGAAGAACACAAGTCTTCCGATGGAATCCACACCACCTTGTTGTCTTGTAAGAGAAGAACGCTTCTTCCAATGCCCAATGTCCTTCAATGGAGGTTGCTATACTCGAGAAGAACAGAGAGTGGGTGGTGCCTTTGGTTATTCCAAGAGAGGGAGAGATAGCCGCCACACTAATGTGTGTGTTAGCTAGGGTTTCAGTGGAGAAAATTAGAGAAGAAGAGTTAAGAAACTATGGAAGAAAAAGGGCTATATATATGACGCCTCATTAACCTAAGACTAGATCAAATTAGAGCCCTCATCAAATCCCAATCTTATTGGATGATTTCCTTAATTTTATCCAATCAATCCAATTGATTGATTTCCCCAATTTCAGCCAATTAATTTAATTAATTGGTTTCCTTAATTTTCCAATCAATCTAATTGATTGGTTTCCAATCAATCTAATTGATTAGTTTCTTTTATTTTCTCCATATTCATTAAATATAATTTAATAACTATATTTAAATTTAAATTTCAAAATTAGAATTTAAATTAATTTTATTCAATTTCAAATTTGAAATTCGAAATTAGAATTCAAATTAATTTTATTAAGTTAACATTTAAATTAATTAGACTACATCATGGATCAAGTCCAACTTGGCGCATGATGCCATTTACCCTCTCTTGGCCCAATATGTGGGCTTTACCAACTTAGGCCCGTTATCCCTTATTAGGCCCAAACCACATATGCTAGAATTCAAGACAACTTAAGGTGTTTGTGTGCGACCCATCAGGCCCAACATAGCCACTGACATAAATGGGCTTAGATCCATTAGGCCTAATCCATCTAATGACAGCACAGAGCACTAGTAATGCTTTGTTGTCCCAAAGCTAGTTGAGTTCATCGAATGATCAACTTGATATACCTATTTGGTTACCGTGTGAATTATCCTTTCGTTTCGATTATCCGTCCCATTGACCTAGGTCAAGAAAAATGTATCAACTCCTGCGCTCTAGGGT